TTACATGAAGAAGTTTAAATAAAATCTGACACGTGGAAATTTAAGCCTGCCATTTTGTAAATCTGTAGGGTACATCATATTATAACGTCTGCAAAATCGTTTTAATGATAATTATAAATTCAAATACCTTTTATTTCAACCCAAACGCTAAGGGGAATATTTTTATTCTTTAATTCACTTTGTTTTTAATCATGGTTTCATTGGAAATTTTACTTTGATTCAGACAGTGCTCGAGATTTTAAACGCACTTGATTTTCTCCAGAAGCAAAGATAATTTATCAATGTGGCAAAAGCAAAGCCAAAAGCACCGGGTTTGCAAAAAGCAAAATTGGTGTTTGCAGACTTGAAGAGCACTTTTCCAAATTTTTGAGAAAGCAAAGGCCCGTTTGATATCACTGTTTGGTCTTTATTCATCTATAACTGAAGTGAAATAAAGGTAAGAGAAATAGATATATATAACAGTCAAACACTCCAGGTGGATTCCCTTGCCAAAAAGGCGTAGCTCCAAAGAAATTACAACAGTAAAAAGGGGAAAAAAAAGGGAGAAAGAGAATAATAAATTAGCAAGCAAACGAACAAACACAGAAAATAAAAAAAAATGACAATAAAAAAAAGAAAAAATATTTTGATTAAAAGCAACGCTGAAGAAAAGTGATGGAGGACTTTACTTTGTCCTAAAAATAAAACTCTGTTTACCCAGAATTTAATTTTTTGGTCACGAACAGAATGCTAAAGTGTATCTCTGGCAAATAAGGATTTAGAACTGGCCTGGACAAAGCTGTTACTTATTCCACACGAATTAATGCAGGCTGTTTTCCGCGCTTTATAATTTGTCGTCAATACGTAAAACATAACAGCAGGAGAGAAGATGTTAATTCTATAAAACCTCTGTACTTCATCTTTCTTTCGAGCAATTCTAATGTGCCTTTAACGGTGTAGAAATTCAAAATAATATCGATAGACATATGTTGTTTAGTTTCTTCTATTGGAACTGAGGAAATTGCTAGTTTCAAAGCTGCTTCTACTCGAATGAACCGGTTTTAATTAAAACGTAGCACTTCTTAAATCGAAGAAGACATTAACGTATTTAATAAATTCAAGTTTACTTTTACATGTACGCTCTATGATTAATATCCAAGTGACTTACCTTCTAAGCGATCATGAAGGAGAAAAGCAATTCTTAGGTCTTGCCCTACTGTTTTCTCCTCAGCTAGAAGCGAATTTTCGCCGCAGCAGAGTTGATAAAACAAACAAAAGACAGACTTATTATTTAAAGTAAGGTAATAAATGTCTCTTGACCCAACAGCTGTTGAACTGCAGCTGATTAACTTTCTTGACGTAATTACGAGCGTCACCGAAACGAAGCAAAATCCAAATCAGATAGTAAATGAACACCTCTGCGGTTACTATCTTCAGAAAACTTAAAAAAACTGCTCTTTCAACTTCCCCTATTAAGCAATTGACCGAGCATCACAAATGTAAACTCGGTTTTCGGATTTTATTTACTTACATCACCATTAGTTCAACTAAAAGTGTAGGTGTTGTGTCAGTGAAAATCAATCACACTTTCCCACGCAAGGGGGCATTTCACGTCACTTACTAATGACTGTGAAAGTCACTAACTGTCATGACAAAATGTTTTGCACCTTGGATTCATGGCCAAATTTCTTATTTCTTATGGCTGTTTCAGTTGTCATGATGAGCGATTCCTAACAAATTCCAAACAACAGAGAAAACAAACGTGATATCAGCGATGAAATCGGGATCCTTCAAAATACTTCAGAACCAAATGACTTTTTATTATAACAGTTTTTTTCTATTCCACAGAGAGCACGATCAGAGAGCAATATATAAATTTCACGTTGGAAATTGAATTTTGTTCCTGTTTACAATAACATCGAAGTAAACCTTTGAGTTATCTTTCAGAAACATGTTGGTTAAACGGACGGTTCGATTGAGGTGTTTATCCACAGCTAGTACTCATTTTTTTTTTAATTTCAAGCTTTCGCTGTTCTACGACATCGCCAGGAAGTGCTTAGCGTCTTTAGTTTTTAGTTGTGTGCAACCTTCTCTAGGTTATTCAAAATTATTGATACGACAATCAAGATGCCATGCGGATAAAAATTGAAAATAATCATTTTTTACTGTCGCTTTATCGTTTTTTTGTATTGTCTTCAGAAAGCATCAGTTAACTCCTTTTGCTGTCATTGTAATTTTCCTTCGCTCAATTAGGCGAGAGATTGCATACTATTTATGATCTCTCGATAAGCTTTTAGAAACTCCTCAGTTTTCGATTTATATTTCTTTTATATAAATATATTTCTTTCAGCCCTTTCACGGTTGAAAGTTCAATTAAATTTTAGCGATTTTAACGGTTGGCCATTATAAGGAATATTTGACTTGTCAGGTAAAATCAATGTTGACCTTTTCAGTTTTCCAATATGAGTCAAATTATATTCAGACTCATTCAATCTTTCTCTGAAGAAGTGACGTGAATGTGTGATAATCTGTTGTTAGTTTCAAAGTAACATCTTGGTTACCGTTATTAAAGGTGCAAACTACATTATCATTATCGCAGTATGCGGAACGCTTGCCATATATCAACACAGTAGAAACTTAGCTCTCTGTAGAGTCTTTGTGGCTAAGTGCGTAAAATACGGAGGTCTTAGTTTCGATTCTCGTCTTGGAGGCTCTAATTTTTTTTCATTGATCCACTCTCGTGAAAAGACGAAAAAAATATCTTTCTTCAACATTAGCAGAGCTTTGCGAACTTGACTCTCCTAGTTCTGAGCATAGGATGCTCAGGGCACAAACGAAATTTGAGCCACAGGGGATTTACCGAACGTGGACACAAAGGCTCGCTCCTCAATTCTGCGCTTAAAAAAGATATGAGAAACAAAACGGCTATGAAAATATTATAATTACTGACACATAATCCCGAAAATAACATATTGCTAGAGGTAAATATTTCAAAATGCGTTAGCCTGCAATGCAAGGTCTTATTGTTATTTCACTCCCCGATCCCCACCCCTCCCCTTACTTTTGATCGTCGACCGCCCCTTTTATTTCTCTCCACAGCCTTCCGCTGCCATTAAAATAAAAAAATGGCGGCCATAATATTCCTTATGAAATTACTGAGCACTCACTCGCCAAAATTACGTCTGCTCTACAGGCTAAGAATGCGTCTCACGGTTTCACTTTCTCTCGCCGTCTCTAAGCTACAGTCATAGTCATCCGAGTCAAGATGTTGTTGGGTAGCTTTTGTGTCAGTTTTAGTATTCCCATTCAGTATTTTCAAAGTGTTCTGTTGCAAAATGTAATAAAATTTTTGCACTTTGTGAGACCAGGTCCCGTCGCTCTTGGTCATAAAAAAGCTGTCGCACTTTATAATGGTTTCTTGTTAAAATGGTGTGACAGCTTTTGGATTACAAAGTGCGGTAAGTGTAATTTCAAGGCACGGCAAGTGTTATAACAGGATAAGACAAATGTTATTTCAAAATGCGGCAAGTATTACAAGGTGGCACGATTATTACTGGTGCGACAACAAATACAGCTGGAGTTCCATTGAACCGAGCCCGAATTTGGTGACCAAGTCATTGATATCAACTAAATCAATAATGCGTTGGCGAAAACTCCCAATTATCTTTTAGTATTCCCGATAGAAACTCATTGTGTCTTGTGTCGCTCAATAAGTTCGCTTTCGCTTTACGAGGGAATATGCGGACGGCTGTCAGGACGAATAACAAGGTCTCAAAATGTAATTTGCTCTTAACTGTTAGAGGGTCTGACGTTGGGATTGGCGCGATGTGGCTTGATCAGAACTAAATTATCATTGTAATAAAGCTCGGATATAACACGTACTGTCATTGGTTGAAAGAGCGTGCTCTATGAGAGTATAGAGCATAGAACTGAGCTAAAGCTGTCACGCCATCTGCCAAATCGTACTATGTCTGACCTTTTCCGGGACTTCTTTCTAGCTTTTGATTGAATTGAAAGTGAAATTTCGGAACAAGCGAGCAAGGTTTGCAAAAATGCCAGGCGCAGTAATTTACGTCACTGTAACGTGAGCAGAGACAAAAATCCTCAAACATGAAACAAGATAGACAGTCCGAGTTTTTTTAACGGTTTTCACGCTCAGTTAGATTGCGAGTTTACGTACGGTAATAAAAATCAAACACAGCTAACACTTGTATAATATATAAAGTTTCGATTTCAAACAGAAAAAAACAGGAATGATAAAAAATATAACCTGGCATAACTGTTAAAATTCATACTAATCATGACGGTGTCAGAGCGACTTAAGGTCTATCGCGGCTAGCTAATCATGGCGATCTTCGGTCATCGCAGTGGAGCAAGCCTCAGGAACTAAATCGACTACCCTTCGAGTGAAAAAATAAGAGCTTGTCCTGATTACCTTTCCGATGCGTTGAGTGGATGGGCAGATCATTCACTGCAACCGAGGTTTACGGCGCTGTCATTCCGAGCGATCTTCATTTCTTAGTGAATTTGGCTGTTGTTCATTCATAATACACTCGCCTTGAAAAGTTTGTTTTCTACTTGTCATGTGAAATAACTTGCGTATTTTTGTGAGCCACGATTGGGCCGAATTTCACTGAACATTTCACTTTCAGATCCTGTATTACAAACTAAAAAACTTCAGGCAAAAGTGTTAAATTCGACATGCCGAGAAATTTTAGTTTGTAAACTATTGCAGAATATGGACTTTGATGGTTTTTGAACTTTGATGGTTTGACATTTTTGACAGCTTTAGTCTTGTACAGCCAATCAGATTATTTGAACCATTCTAACAGGGATTCTGATTGGCTTATTGTAGCGTGCTTTATGAGAGTATAGAGCATGCTGACGACACTGTTGTTCGCTTTGGAAATAAGATTTGTTTTGAAAATTGAAAGTAATTCTTGGGGAATTTAACGGATTCTTTATTATAAAACAAACAGCATGACGAGCTTTGAACCACTTAATCCTTTTATGCAAATGAG